GCTCACGACCCTACTACTCTCCTCCTTTGTGATTTTACTTCTGACTCTTACCTTTGGACTATGTGTTCTGAACAAGCTAGTGGCTTTCGTTAAGGATAGAATAAATACTGTGTAGCTTCTGGTTGTCACTGTCACTGTCCTCCCGTTGTTCATCAATTTGCTCGAGCGGGCCCAGTAACGTCTCCATTTTGAGACTTATTGTTACTGTATTTGGCATATCAAATACGTCACGGCTAGCTTGCCAGGCTTTGCCGGGCGGGCGAGATACTCTCGATAGCTTGCCCTCTTCTCTGAGAGGGGCGGAGGAATCGAACCCGGCTCGGCTGGGCTGGCTGTGCACAAGGCAAATGCCCTACCACTGGCAGCAATATCATGAGTTGGCTAAGGGGACCCCTCTTTCGAGGAACTAGGGTACCAAGGGTATGATTGCTCTTGAAATGCACAAGAAAAAGGTGGCAGGGGGGATGAGAAACTGAGCTTCTTGAAAGCTAAGGCAGTGCCGTGACAGGCCTCAGGACAAGAATATTTTAGAGTAGGCCTCAGTTTCCCCAAAGTAAGGTGCAGCATTCTAGACCAATCAGAAAGGTCTTGCAAAGTCCTGTGGCCAAGTCGAGGGGCCCAACCAATCACCATGTTCTGGCTCAGCAACCTGTGTGCCCTAACGCCTGTTGGAACTGGAGTCAAGGTCCTTGTCCTGTGGCCCCTGCGTCGTTGGGGACTGGGACCCTAGCTCGAGCTAGCAATAAAATCCCCTGCCTTTTGCATCACGCGAGTGGTCTCTTACTTTTATCCTGACCCTGGTAGAGCAACGGGAGTGGGGTTTTGAAAATAGGTGCTGTTGACTCTGGAAATTTTACTCTAGAATCTTTAACTGAAATTTTTATTTGGCGACTTTTGGAATTGCCAGAAGCTGTTTAACAATCTTGGAGTTATAGAAATACATGACAAAGAAAGGAGATATGTTCTTTTTAAATGAATTTTCTTTATTACAGAAGGAAAATACAGTTAAAATGGCCTGAGTAATGAAATGACCTTTAACTTAAGTGCAAGACCTACAAAATGTTTTCAGATGTTTTTGGATATAGTGCAGGATTCTTTTTCTGCAAGTAGCTGGATAAAAGCCAGACTACCAGAACAGGGAATTGAACTCTGGACCCTCAGATTGAAAGTCTGGTGCTTTACCATCTGAGCTACTCGGCCCCTAATTTGGGATGCCAAGTCTTTCTATAAATTATTAAATTCCCTACGTAATTTAGATCATTAAAAGTTGCTGAGAAAACCCATGATTGAAGGGCTCTCCAAATGTGTGTGGGGGTCTTTTAACGATTAAGAAAATCGTTTAACCTCTACCCCATTGCAGGGAGAACGAGGATTACCCCGAAACTCCATGATTTCGAAAAGAACTGAGGATTTCAGACTGAGGTTTCAAAAGGCTCAGGCCTGGGGAACCGTAAATTAAAGACCTGACTTGCGGGTTCCCTGACAACCTTCGAGATAAAAGGGAGGCCACCAGCGTTTTTAGCAGCGATGAAAGTCTTGGAGAACCTGAGAGAAAAGACGGACACAGGAAAGTTCTAGCTTTGGTAAACGCCGGGGAATGCAGTCGGGGGAACACTCCAATGTTTCTCCGAGTTTCCAGAATCTATTTGGGCCCGTTTTGCTCACTGTCCAGAAGCTGGAAGCCCCGGGCTGCAGCCCAAATGTGGGAACGAGCTAGAACCATCAAGTCACATGGATAATAACCATCAGGCTAGACGCTTCCGCCACGCAGTATTGGCCCCAGCCTGTTTGACGCGAGTGTCCCCTACTGGCTGTCATGTAAATAGTTTCTCAAAGGGCCGCAGATGCTCTCCTTGTCCGTAGGACTTTGGGGTTTGAATTGTGGGGACCCTGGGACGGAAAAATAATGCTGACGGCGACGATGACGGTGTTCGTGGCGGGGATGTTGATCGAGCCCAGGTCTCATTCCCGGTTCGTTAATGATGTTTGGTTTGTTGGGGAGGGGGCGAGCACTGCAGAAGCCCGGGCCCCCCATCCCGGCACCTTCCTCCTCCGTCACTGCATCGCTAATGAACTTCGGCCCCAGTTTTTTGCTAACCTGGATTTTAACTCTAACGTTGCCAAGCTGGCTGTGGCGGGTGCTTCAGGCTGGAAGGGGATGTGTGTGGTTGCGAATCGTACCAATGGGAAGTCCAAGAATCCTTTTTCTTTCGATTTCTGGGAAACTTTAAAATATATATTAGCTATTCTTAGCATCAGATCATAAAAAAAAAAAACACCCAAGTAGCGGGTGGATTTGGCCCAGAGGTGTGTGTGTAAATCAACAACCTTGGTCCTATATTTATTTTTATAATACATTCAACCACTTTTTCTGTCCATCTCTCCCCACATCCCTTATTTACCTCTGTTGCTGGCAGATGGACAGGGAGGGGCCCCGGCAATATGATTTTAAGGAAGAAATAACACAAAATGTGATTTGAAGGAGTTGCTAACCCATCAGCCCCTAAGAAGCCAAGGCACGAAGGGAGGAACCACTCGAAACGGCAGGTCCAAGAAGGGGGG